AAAACGAGATTGTTTGTATGTATATGGCCATTGTTCTTTTGATTCTGTTTCTTCTTTTAATCAGTAACCAATTCTGTTTCTTCTTTTAATCAGTAATCATGTATGAAAAACGAGATTCTTTGTATGAAAAACCAGTAACCATCATTTTAATCGAGGCTTATCCTTCGCAAAGGGAGAATAAGAACGAGACCTTCATTGTGGAGGCGACGTGTATCTGTTCCCAGTTCCTAGGAAAAATAATTAGCAATTCAGATTATTTTTATTTGCCATTCTCTTCGATCTGCAAACAAGACCATTGGTAGAGTTATGCAGATGTAAAGTCAGCTGACAACAAATTGGTAACAGCTTCAACTTTTAACCAAGTTTATATGAAAAAAAAACACAAGCATCTACAATATATAGCAGATTAGTTTGATCCATTAACTCTACCATAAAATATATGTATTGATTGTATATCTATTTGGTGTATCAAGATCTGTCTGTCTATATCACACCTTGGGTGAAATTTTTCCTTCCTAGCCGATTTCTTTTCAAACGCCAGATCTCGAAACGACGATGGATGTCATTTTTCTTCCTTTATTTTGGATCAGACCGAACATAATATGCTGTTTCTATACATATGGTCTTGTATGCTCGGCCCAGCATGTGCATTGTAATGCTTGATCGGTCCATTTATTTGCCACCTCTTGTCTCTCTGAAACCCCATGGGCAAAGCTTTTGCGCGTCGGAAAAAAAAAGAAAATCTTAATCGCTCCACGGTTGCATCTATCACTTTCATCCTCAAACCATTGCAGTAGCAGCATGAAACTACAGTCTACAGAGCATCAGAAGTTCAGAACACGGTAAGTAACGGCAGCATGTGAAGCTTGACCTAGCTAGCTAAGCAGCGTAGGAAATGGATAATGATAGTTTCCGGTTGTTGGCAACCGTTACTAAAGTAGCCTAATTCAGGTGCCTAAACAAGACTAATAGAAGAAGAAGAAGATACTCCTATAAGGATCAAACTCGCGTATCACTCAGAAACGTCGTGCCATTTTAAAACGGAATCCACCTGTTTTGGCCTAGGTAGCAGGTTAGTTTGACCAATGACATTTCGTTCTCCAAAAGGAGCGTGCCTGTTCCATACTTCCATGCCTGTCAACAGCGACCGCCGACCGATGAGTAACAAGTCCAGTCCTTGACGGGAGGCACTGATCATGCATGCGGATCTATAAATTCCATGCGTGAACGTGAACTCCTCAGCAGTCATCGTATCGCACCAGTCGGCAGCCGCAGTTACAGAAACATCTAGCTTACTAGCAGTAGCAGTTTGCGATCGATCTCTTTTTACTTTCGCTAAATTACAGTCACTTAATAAGCAAGTACTATAAGGTTCATGCTTCAGCAACTCTAGCTAAGTAACTGGATTCATGTTCTGTTGAAATGAAATGGCTTTACAGGCTCAAATTAAAACTGAAAGAATAATCCGTTGAATCGACCGATCGAGCAGAACGACGCGAGACGAGCATCATGCAGCAGCGAGTGAGTTTTCTTCTCCTGTTTCTGCAGCAGCTATATGTGGGGATCATCAGGCGGCTGCGGGGAGTAGCGCGCACGGCACGGCACGTATTCGATTCAATTCAATATGGCAAGAGGGGGATCCCGATCACGATTCACGAATGGCAGCAACAAATCTACCAGGTTACATGCTTGGGAGGCCTGGTGTGCATTCGCCCTGCAAGATTGGCAGCGCATTTACTCTGCATGGAAACCAGATTTAGGGGACGCCGCGTCGAGAGCGCGGCCGATGACAGCGAGCGGATTAAATCGGTTTCGAGTCCCCGCATAATCCCCTGCTCCCCGGCCGCCTGATTTGCTCCTCCTCCCTCCCTCCCTCCCTCCCTCTACAAATAAAAAGCCATTCCTTCCTACACACCCCAGCAAAAAATATCCATCCATCACAATTCACAACCGAACTCATCCGCACGTGCAGGCTCAGCGGCGGCGACGGCGAGCGGAGCAATGGCGCCGGTCATCCTGGAGATGGACGTGCACTGCCTCCGATGCGCGCGCAAGATCCGCAAGGCTGTCCGGAACATGCACGGTACGTACGTGCAGCGTGCTCCTGCTGGCCTGCCGGCCGCCGTTGTTCTGCTTCTGCATGCGCAGCGCAGGCTCACGTCTACTAGGTCGTCTGACATGCATGATGGTTTGGTGTGCTTATATGCAGAGGTGGAGGACGTGCGGGTGTCAGTGGACACGGGGCTGGTGGTGGTCAAGGGCGCCTCCCTCGACGCGTCGCTGCTCAGGTGGCGGATCCAGTCCAGGACCGGGAAGCCCGTGGCCGTCGTCAGCGACGGCGGCGCGGCGGAGGACCCGCCTGCCGGGCAGATGGTGCACTTGGGCCCGACGCCGCCGCTGGCCGGGTACTCGTACTCGTACCCGTACGGCGGGTACGGCGGCGGCTGGCAGGCGCCCGCGCTCCAGTACGTGCCCGGCGGCGGCAACGCGTTATTCCCGTACGACGCGCGCCAGTACGGGATGATGATGGCGAACGACGCGCCGCCGTGCTACCGCGACGACGGACCCAGCGGCTGCTGCACCATGCAGTGACGACGACGGAGTGACGGACCGGCGGGCGGCGTACGTTTGGGCGGAGCCAGTTTTTGTCATGCTCATCACGTCACGTACTCCAACTGCACTAGATTATCCTTCCTACAATTATATCACCTAGCCTGCTGTTTCCAGTTTCCCGTGGATTAATTTGTCTACGAGTCGTGCCTTTTTCTGTCAGTGTGTTTAGGATGAGTTCGAACATGAGGGACTCTCGGCGTTACTGGAATACGAAATCACACGACGTGTATTGAACCATTTAACGCAAAAACATATATATCTATTTCCATTAATTACTAGTGAATTTCAACCACACTCTATGTCTAAATGGTTTAAATTAGACGGTTAAAATGTTTGTATTGTACCAGTAAACTATAGTTCCATATTAAAATTATAATGTGCCTTGAGACATACATACAATTGCACAAACACATTTAAACACACCATTCAAACTATTTTTTTACTACTTCGGCTATTTAAAAGACTTTTTGTTTAATTCACCATATAGGTTGAAACTACACATATACCCACATGTAGACCTGATCAAACATTGTGTTAGTTCGGGCCAGAAAAAAAATGATCAGATCAAAATATTTGGCCCTTTGAATCGAGCCTAACTCGACACATTGGCTGGTCGGGCTATTTCTTGTATTTTTTTTTTTACTTTGGACTAGTTTTTTTAATTGGGATCGGCAACTGGTCGGTTTTTTCCGGGTGCGTCTGGTCGGGCGGTCATGCATGAACAGATCTATACATAGTTTAGCATTTACTTGTATAGCCCATGAACAGGTTTTTAGCGCGGCATTCGGTAAAGAACTTGTTCGCCGAGTGCCCGAATGAATACACTCGGCAAATATAAAAACTCTCGGTAAATTTCAGGATTACGGTAGTGTTTCTCCGCTTGGGCCCTCGACCGTCGTACCTCCTGCCCTACCCCTAGGGCCGGCACTGCCCGCAGCTCGGACGCCGAGACCTCGCCGTCGCCATAGTGGCCGAACAGCACCAGCATTGTGTCGTGTTTGGTTGGGCTCTTGAACTGGATCGGCAGCTCGATCGCGCCTGGTGACTGACTGAGAGAGCATCTGCGTCAGGATTTATAGTCAGCTACTAGTAACTGTGACTGCTTGGAAGGATTATGCATGTTCAGTAGTAATTTGTTAGTAGCATCGTGTACCTTTCTTAGGGTATAATAAAAGGAAGTAAGGCCTCGTTTAGATGCTGAAAAAATTTCAACCCGATGAATAGTACCACTTTCGTCTTATTTGACAAATATTGTCCAATCGTGGACCAACTAGGCTCAAAAGATTCATCTCGTGATTTCCAACTAAACTGTGTAATTAGTTATTTTTTTTACCTACATTTAATACTCCATGCAAGCGGCTAAAAATTGATGTGATGGAGAGAGAGTGAAAAAACTTGGAATTTGGGATGCATCTAAACAAGGCCTAAGCATTTTTTGACTGGAAAAGTGACCGGCGGTTTTCAATTACTGGGCTGTGTTGAACGGATTAATTGGACCCAACTATGTGTTTGGTCAAACAGCTGACACTGGCTGGAGTTCTTGCACGCCGGCTGTAACAGACTGGCTGGCGTCCCAATTTTAAATCCGGCTGCGGCGTTCGTCGTCCGGCCAGCTCCTCTTCTCTTCCTCCCTAGTGTGCAGTACAGCGACTGCGTGCAAAATTATGTTACAGACGGGTGAACTGTCAGTGTCGGTAATACTGCTCACCTGTCTGTCTCCTTGTTCAAAAAAAAAAGAAGCCATCGCATAGTGCAGCTTTGGCCAGGCATTTCTCAATTCTCATAGCATAATGTTCCTGATGGCATATTCAAGCATTCCACCTAATCATTCCATGAATAAAAGTTGGTCAGTTGGATCACAGAACATTCTGTGTCAAATTAAACCAAAAAAAGAGAAGAAGACCAAACAGAGCGAACGAAGCAGCCCAGACTCAAAGCAAGATCAGGAATTTATCAACGCCGGCCGGCTAGTCATGCACTATTCTAGAGACGTCAGACTCTCTGCAGGCCGGAGCAGCTGACGAGGTTCCTATCTGTCGGAATCGGCTGCAGCTCTTCTACTCTCAGCAATTGACTATTGCAAAGAAAGACCCAACCCATGGTGCTACGCTAAGAAATTTTCTTGGCACTGTCAGGTAGTGACCCGTTCTTTATGCCTTGAATGTATCAACACGAACCCACCATTGGCACGCAACGCATGCATGATTGCAGCTCATAAAGTCATAATAGCTGCAAGAACCGAGCGCCTGAGTGTGCCATTGCAGTTGCAGTCTTGCAGACAGACCAGATCAGCAAAGGCAAAGTTCCCGATAGTCATTCGCGTAGCTTGCCTGGAAAGGAAACTACTAAAACCAATCGCTGAAGCTTGCCAAGGTTGAAGAAGATCAATGGCGGTGTACGCATCATCCGAGTTCAGCCGCGTGTTCTCGGCGCTGGACCGGGACGGCGACGGCAAGCTGTCGGCGGCCGAGCTGCGCCTCTGCATGAAGGCGGCGCTGGGCGAGGACGTGTCGGCGGAGGAGGTGGACCGCCTGGTGGCGTCGGCGGACGCCGACGGCGACGGGCTGCTGAGCCAGGAGGAGCTCCTTGTGCTGGCGCTGGCGGGGACGGCGGCGGCGGAGGCGGAGGAGGAGGACGAGGGCCAGCGGCGGCGGGAGCTCAGGGAGGCGTTCGGGATGTACGCCATGGAAGGCGAAGGGTGCATCACGCCGCTGAGCCTGAAGCGGATGCTCTCCAGGCTGGGCTACCACCAGGACATTGATGAGTGCAGGGCCATGATCTGCAGGTTTGATCTCAACGGCGACGGGGTGCTCAGCTTCGAGGAATTCAAGGTCATAATGGATGCATAGCGTACCGTAATTAGCAGATTGTATTGTGCGTGTGATTTACTTATTTTGGTGCTTGTTTTGATTTGTTCATTAGTGTCCTAATTCAAATTGTTAATTGGTACTAGTTTCTGTGTCAGATCATGTATGAAAAACGAGGTTGTTTGTATGTATATGGCCATTGTTCTTTTAATTCTGTTTCTTCTTTTAATCAGTAACCAATTCTGTTTCTTCTTTTAATCAGTAATCATGTATGAAAAACGAGATTCTTTGTATGAAAAACCAGTAACCATCATTTTAATCGAGGCTTATCCTTCGCAAAGGGAGAATAAGAACGAGACCTTCATTGTGGAGGCGACGTGTATCTGTTCCCAGTTCCTAGGAAAAATAATTAGCAATTCAGATTATTTTTATTTGCCATTCTCTTCGATCTGCAAACAAGACCATTGGTAGAGTTATGCAGATGTACAGTCAGCTGACAACAAATTGGTAACAGCTTCAACTTTTAACCAAGTTTATATGAAAAAAAAAACACAAGCATCTACAATATATAGCAGATTAGTTTGATCCATTAACTCTACCATAAAATATATGTATTGATTGTATATCTATTTGGTATATCAAGATCTGTCTGTCTATATCACACCTTGGGTGAAAATTTTCCTTCCTAGCCGATTTCTTTTCAAACGCCAGATCTCGAAACGACGATGGATGTCATTTTTCTTCCTTTATTTTGGATCAGACCGAACATAATATGCTGTTTCTATACATATGGTCTTGTATGCTCGGCCCAGCATGTGCATTGTAATGCTTGATCGGTCCATTTATTTGCCACCTCTTGTCTCTCTGAAACCCCATGGGCAAAGCTTTTGCGCGTCGGAAAAAAAAGAAAATCTTAATCGCTCCACGGTTGCATGTATCACTTTCATCCTCAAACCATTGCAGTAGCAGCATGAAACTACAGTCTACAGAGCATCAGAAGTTCAGAACACGGTAAGCAACGGCAGCATGTGAAGCTTGACCTAGCTAGCTAAGCAGCGTAGGAAATGGATAATGATAGTGTCCGGTTGTTGGCAACCGTTACTAAAGTAGCCTCATTCAGGTGCCTAAACAAGACTAATAGGCCATGTTCGCTTGTCTTATAATCCGTATCTTTTAGCTTGTTTTTTCAGCCGGAACTGTGTTTTCTCTCTCAACAAATCAGCTGGAACAGTGTTTCGGCTTGTTTTTTTAGCGAAGCGAAGAAGAAGATACTCCTATAAGGATCAAACTCGCGTATCACTCAGAAACGTCGTGCCATTTTAAAACGGAATCCACCTGTTTTGGCTAGGTAGCAGGTTAGTTTGACCAATGACATTTCGTTCTCCAAAAGGAGCGTGCCTGTTCCATACTTCCATGCCTGTCAACAGCGACCGCCGACCGATGAGTAACAAGTTCAGTCCTTGACGACCGGCACTGATCATGCATGCGGATCTATAAATTCCATGCGTGAACGTGAACTCCTCAGCAGTCATCGTATCGCACCAGTCGGCAGCCGCAGTTACAGAAACATCTAGCTTACTAGCAGTAGCAGTTTGCGATCGATCTCTTTTTACTTTCGCTAACTTACAGTAACTTAATAAGCAAGTACTATAAGGTTCATGCTTCAGCAACTCTAGCTAGGTAGCAGGCTCAAATTAAAACTGAAAGAATAATCCGTTGAATCGACCGATCGAGCAGAACGACGCGAGACGAGCATCATGCAGCAGCGAGTGAGTTTTCTTCTGTTTCTGCAGCAGCTATATGTGGGGATCATCAGGCGGCTGCGGGGAGTAGCGCGCCCCGCACGGCACGTATTCGATTCGATTCAATATGGCAAGAGGGGGATCCCGAAATCCCGATCACGATTCACGAATGGCAGCAACAAATCTACCAGATTACATGCATGCTGCATGCATGGGAGGCCTGGTGTGCATTCCCCCTGCAAGATTGGCAGCGCATTTACTCTGCATGGAAACCAGATTTAGGGGACGACGCCGCGTCGAGAGCGCGGCCGATGACAGCGAGCGGATTAAATCGGTTTCGAGTCCCCGCATAATCCCCTGCTCCCCGGCCGCTTGATTTGCTCCTCCTCCTCCCTCCCTCCCTCTACAAATAAAAAGCCATTCCTTCCTACACACCCCAGCAAAAATATCCATCCATCACAATTCACAACCGAACGCACAATTCACAACCGAGCAGAGCACGTGCAGGCTCAGCGGCGACGGCGAGCGGAGCAATGGCGCCGGTCATCCTGGAGATGGACGTGCACTGCCTCCGATGCGCGCGCAAGATCCGCAAGGCTGTCCGGAACATGCACGGTACGTACGTGCAGCGTGCTCCTGCCGGCCTGCCGGCCGCCGTTGTTCTGCTTCTGCATGCGCAGCGCAGGCTCACGTCTACTAGGTCTTCGACATGCATGATGGTTTGGTGTGCTTATATGCAGGGGTGGAGGACGTGCGGGCGTCGGTGGACACGGGGCTGGTGGTGGTCAAGGGCGCCTCCCTCGACGCGTCGCTGCTCAGGTGGCGGATCCAGTCCAGGACCGGGAAGCCCGTGGCCGTCGTCAGCGACGGCGGCGCGGCGGAGGACCCGCCTGCCGGGCAGATGGTGCACTTGGGCCCGACGCCGCCGCTGGCCGGGTACTCGTACTCGTACCCGTACGGCGGGTACGGCGGCGGCTGGCAGGCGCCCGCGCTCCAGTACGTGCCCGGCGGCGGCAACGTGTTATTACCGTACGACGCGCGCCAGTACGGGATGATGATGGCGAACGACGCGCCGCCGTGCTACCGCGACGACGGACCCAGCGGCTGCTGCACCATGCAGTGACGACGACGGAGTGACGGACCGGCGGGCGGCGTCGGCGGCGTACGTTTGGGCGGAGCCAGTTTTTGTCATGCTCATCACGTCACGTACTCCAACTGCACTAGATTATCCTTCCTGCAATTATATTACCTAGCCTGCTGTTTCCAGTTTCCCGTGGATTAATTTGTCTACGAGTCGTGCCTTTTTCTGTCAGTGTGTTTAGGATGAGTTCGAACATGAGGGACTCTCGGCGTTACTGGAATACGAAATCACACCACATGTATTGAACCATTTAACGCAAAAAAAACATATATATCTATTTCCATTAATTACTAGTGAATTTCAACCACACTCTATGTCTAAATGGTTTAAATTAGACGGTTTAAATGTTTGTATTGTACCAGTAAACTATAGTTCCATATTAAAATTATAATGTGTCTTGAGACATACATACAATTGCAAAAACACATTTAAACACACCATATTCAAACTATTTTTTTACTACTTCGGCTATTTAAAATATTTTTTGTTTAATTCACCATTTAGGTTGAAACTACACATATACCCACATGTAGACCTGATCAAACATTGTGTTGGTTCGGGCCAGAAAAAAAAATGATCGGGTCAAAATATTTGGCCCTTTGACCCGGAGCCTGGCCCTTTGAATCGAGCCTAACCCGACACATTGGCTGGTCGGGCTATTTCTTGTATTTTTTTTACTTTGGACTAGTTTTTTTTTAATTAGGTTCGGCCACTGGTCGCTTTTTTTCGGGTGCGTCTGGTCGGGCGGCCCATGCATGAACAGATCTATACATAGTTTAGCATTTACTTGTATAGCCCATGAACAGGTTTGTTCACTTTGGTTTTTTCTCACGATTTAAACGAGGTGGCGAACAATGAACACTACACAACTAACGTGATGTATATAACCCAAAATCAATGATCATTGTATAGACATGGTACTATGATGGGATCACTGCATATGGATCAATATGTCACAAAACTATGATCGGATCACTGCGTATGAGCATTGTATACACACGAGACTATGATGGGAATTGGGATCACTACGTATGGATCAATATGTCACAAAACATGTTGGGATCACTGCGTATGGATCAATATGTCGAATAACTATGTGAGGCCAAGAGGAGAGTGGAGAGGGAGGGGCTCGTGCCCCCCTACAAGGTTTAACATGTTGGGATCACTGCGTATGGATCAATATGTCGAATAACTATGTGAGGCCAAGAGGAGAGTGGAGAGGGAGGGGCTCGTGCCCCCCTACAAGGTTTGCAAAGGGATGGATCAATATGTCGAATAACTACGTGAGGCCAACATGAGAGAGGCTATAGCTAAGACCGCTCAGGCTACACATGCATTATGGTTGTTAGAGTCCGAGATGAGGCGGTTTCAGGACCGACAGACACATTTGCAGCAGAACAAGGGGCGGGAGGGGAGGCGGCGGAGGAACCGCATGTATTGAACCATTAACGCTAAAACATTTATATCTATTTCCATTAATTACTCGGTGAATTTCAATCACACTCTATTTCTAAATGGTTTAAATTAGATGGTTTAAAAGTTTGCATTGTACCAGTGAACTATAGTTCCATACTAAAATTATAAATGTGCCAGAACATGCATACAATTGCACAAGCACATTTATATCACATTTAAACACACCATTCAAACTATTTTTTTACTACTTTGGCCATTTAAAAGATTTTTTGTTTAATTCACCATTTAGGTTGAAACTACACATATATGTGTCTATTATTACACTCGCTCTACATATACATACAGTAATTAAGAACTTATGGTTTTTTATATAATAATATAAGTAATATATGTGTATGTTAATTAATTACCTGGGGCCTGCTGAGGTTGATGGCTGTAACCACGGTGACTGCTAGGGTTCCAAGCGAGATCTTGTGCAGAACTTCGCCGTGATGACATGAAGAATAGCGTTCTTCTTCTCACAGCGATTCAAACTTCACCGTGATGACCTGAAGAATAGCGTTCTTCTTCCCACAGCGACTCACGAGTGCTAGAGCATCCTTCAGGCTATCCAACACAGAATTGAGCGTCCTTGCAACCACTGGGTGACTGGATCATTGACTCTACGCTCGTTGTAGCGTGTGCACCAATCCACAGACCTTCTCGATACCCTTGCACTATCTCTCGTTGGTCCGGTCAGTCTT